ACAAAAGGGATAGTTTGAAAGAATTAGATGTAGAGCAGTACAAAGAAAAGGATGTTGGCATGGGATGTGGAGACACTTACTGCTACATAGACCCATATTTGAAGAGCAATGGTACTAATGAGATTGAAGAAGTTGAGAGCATGATAACAAAGACTAGGGGTGCTGCCATGTTATGTGCTTGGAATGAGGATGGTGTCATTTATATCGACCTAGTTGATTGTTTTTCTAATATGCATGTTCCTTGCAAAATTATACTAGCATGTCCCTCATGGACAAAATGGTTTGCTTGTCTACCTAAAGGTGGAGAAAAGGAGAACTTGATAGTAGCTGACACACAAGACTTTACTGAAGTCTTCAATGGGAAGGTTACCGTAATGCTCTGGTCGAATTTCTGCACATATGATCAAGACAATTTCTTTTGTTTTCAGTTGTCAAGGAAAACTGATTTGTCACACTTGGTGTTCCTTTGGGATTGGGCAACTAAGAAGCAACTTTATGAAGCAATAAGGTCAAATCATCAGTGATAGAAATTTTTTTTCATACTTATATATGATGAACTGTCAGTGAAATACAAGGACGACCACTGTTGAACTCGACGGCGAGTTCTTTTAAAGAAGGGGAGCATGCTGTAGCACATGTGAACAGTGGCATGTACAGTGTTTTCTAGTTTCTATCTCTGTTTTAGGAAAGTTTTCATTGTTTTAATTCCTGTTAGTTTAGTGTTTGTTTTAGGAAATTTTTTATTGTTTTAATTTTCCAAATAGTTTTGTATTTGTTTTAGGAAAGTTTCCATTGATTTAATTTCCTATATAGTTTAGGATTTGCTTAGGCCTATAAATAGATGCTATTGTAATAGTTTATGAATCAATTCTCCCTTTTATTAATATAAGAAAACTGAGAGCTTTTCTCAATCTCTTCTAGTGGTTTCGGGTGTCTAAAGAATACGTTGCTATTCTTAATTATTTTACTTGCTTCCATTGATCCGCTGCGTCAGAAAGGCGTGAAAGGCATGAGAGTTTAAAGGCCCTCTTTGGTCTTATGTAGCTTTTCCCCTAATCGGGTTCAACGAGTTGAGCTCCAAATCGCCAACACGATATGATTAATTAAACGGGTTAAATGGGTTGACGTGATTATGCCACGAACATGATTAAGGTCAATTCAAACCCGCTAACTTCGTGTTTTGTTGGCGGGTCGTGTCAAATTTTGCCACCCCTAATTGTATTTGGCGATTAAAAGTTCAGAACAAATCAATGTATAAAAACAACAAAAGGAAAATTCCGGGGTTAGGGTTTGTATGTGATAGTCAGTGTTGTTTTTTGTTTTTGAAATTAAAGCGTAGGAGGGAATAAGAAGAAGAGAACAAAGAATTGGCGAGTTAAATTTATTTGGAGATTTGGGTCTGTCATTTGGAAATTAAGGTCATTTATCAAAGTTTTCGGGTCACATGGGTTGCATGTGATATATTCTACCGTTTCTTTTCCAATGGCACAATGGCGACAGGGGGTCTTATGCAAGATTCGTGATAGTTAGGTGTGGATTTCCAAAAAAATATTCAAGGGGATTATTTGCAAATTTAGGTAAAAGTACAGTTTTTTTTTTTTGGGCACTATACTATTAGTTTTAATATAAATACATGGGAACAGAAATGAGAGATATTTTCTCATTCTGCAGTCCTTTCTAAAATCATTCTTATCTTTTTCACCCTTCTCTCCCTTTTCTATTTTCTTTCTATTATTTTCAATTGTTCATATTTCAACTTGGTATCAAAGCATCGATTGCGGCTCTGAAGAATCATCAAAGGGGTCGTCAAGGGTATACTGATGTCCCCATCAGGGTTGTTGATATCATGCCCCCATACGGCCAAGCTTGATGAATATCATGCCCCCATACGACACGGATACGATAACACGGCAAATCCTAAAAAATTAGGACACGGACACGGCAAATAAGAAATATATTTTCTATATATATGGCGTTGTACTTTAAGAAATTAAGAGTAATATTATTTTTTACAATCTCAAAATGAAAAAAAAAAATGTGTTTTGTTAGGAAAAAGAAAGAATGATAGAAAGAAAGAAAGAGAAAGGAAAAAAAAAAAAAAAAAAAAAAAAATAAAACACAAGAGACTGAGAGGATCGGGGTTTTGTTAGAAAAAGAAGTAGGTCTTAGTTAAAAATAAAGGTAAGCATCCACAGAAGAGAAAAGAAGTTCATGGGGAATAGAGGAAAAAGAGACAAAAAAAAAATTTATTATGGAAGGAAAAAAAAGAAGTATTCAGGGTTTGTGAAGAACAACAAGAAGAAAGAAAGGAAGAGGACGAAGAATAAGAGAGAAAAGAGGAGAAAGAGGAGAGAGAGATAAAGAGACCATTCACTGGTAGCGAAGCTTGGTTGGTGGGACAACGAGAGAGTCAAAGATGATTGTGCAAGAGTTCGAACCTTTGAACTAAAATATAAGAATAAATATCTAATTGTTTGAATACAAAATTGCTTTATGAAACAAGAAGTTTTTAAGTAACTATGTAATTAAACAAACTCTTAATATTTACACTTTCACTCAACATTGTTTCTAAAACTTTCTTAAAAATCCCCAAAGAATGGGACATGTGTGTCGGATTCGTATCTATGGCGTGTCGGAAGCGTGTCCGGATATTTGAAAAAATATAAAATATTCATACACGTTTTTTAGCGTGTTCAACATGTGTCGGGGTGTGTCCTGCGTGTGTCGGTGTCCGACATAGATTCTTTGCCCTCTTAGGCGTGTTCGTGCTTCACTGCTTCCTAGTCAAAAGGTATGGGGGAGGTGGGGCTGGTCGACCATAGTGGAGGTGAACACTTCTTATGGAGTTAGTTTCTTGAAAAGGTATTATGGAAGGATGGGATTAATTATGCGTGGGGTATTAAAATGAGGTTGAAATTTTGGCATGTGTGATAAATGGTTTGGGAGATCGAAGTTGTGGTGGAATTGTTGGAAATCTTGTTTAAAGATTAGGGGAGAATGAGGTGACATTCGGAAGTTGTGGAAATGTTGGAAATCTTGTATAAAGCAAATAATGATCCATTTATTCCTTTGATCCATTTGGAACCATTGCTAATCTTTTTTATTTGGTTTAGTTCAATTGTAGTGTTTAATGGTTCAGTCCAGTTCTCAGAATAGTACAATTGATAGGATCGGTTTGGTTTAGGGGTGGCAATTTGTGTTGGTGGGTCGTGCAGGACATGAGTATCTTGTTAAATGGGTCGACACAAATACGACATGATTTTTACATGGGTAACACGACACGACACGACACGACACGACATGCATAATTCGTTTAATAAATGGGTCAAGACTTGACACGACACAAAACAACAAGACACGTTTAAGTCATTTCGGACAAGAACACGACACGTTTATTAGTCATGTTTAGCAAAATGAGTCATTTTTAACACGAACATGACTTAAACGGGTTTATCAAATTATAAACGGGTTGACGGGCCAAATACAAACATGACATGTTTAATTACCGTGTCAATTCGGGTGGACATGATTAAGCCAAACCCAAACCCACTTATCCCGTGTCATGTCCGAGTCGTGTTAGCGTGTCGTGTCAAGTATTGCCATCCTTTTTGGTTCACAGTCTAGTGGTAAACAAAAACAAACCAACTTGAATTGAGTTATGTGTTATACTTTTTCTTTTGGTAAGATAGTGTGTGATACTTGTACATATATATTTTTGTTTTCATTTAATTAGTTGGTAAAATTCGTTATTATGGGCTCGTAACACACTAAACAATGGTTATATCTATATATATATTTTTTCTAATCTACCCTTATCAACATCTTTGAAACATATTAGCATATGCTTCATTATTGCTATTAATATTGGCAAATTTAGAAGCTAAAATAAACTCTTGAATTGAGTAGGTAGTAGGAAAATTCTTCAATTAGGCCGTAAAAGTTGGATTGAATAATGCTTGATTTAGTCTAAAGCTTGTTACTATTGAACTATGCTTTTAATTAAGGCTAATTTGTGATACCGAACCGATCCAAACTGTTATTGTATGTTTGAGTCGGTTTGGTTAGACAGTTCCATTGACTCGATCAATTAGGCTTGGTTTGGTTCTACTTTACCCTCAAATTGAACAATAGGAACTGTGTGGCACCCCCAGAGGTATGCTTTCCTTGGAAAGATGCAGGGAATGTTGAGGTAACCTCCAAGGTTGGGATACTTTTCATAGTTGGCCACTCATGGAAAGATCATAATAATTAATAATTAGATGAGCAGAGTCAAAATTCTCAAATGGGTGAGTTTTGAATATGGGCACTGGACAGGAGATGTCATATTCTTGTTCATTGTAGATTGGTTAAGGAGGTGTTGGCATTCTGCTTGATTTATGTCCTTGCTGTTCCCCAAATTAGTGGCAGATTCGTTGCATATCTTCAGAGGCTGAAGAATTCGTAGAAGAAAGAAAGGGCATGGATTACTGCTTCTTTGTGTCTCCTTTGGTGTAATTTGAACGGGTATTGGACCAGATTCATAAAATATATTTTTGGCTGTTCTATATATGTGGTATGGGGAGGGGGAAATATTTACCGAAACATTTATAGATTTGTATTTCAGCTAGATTTTTGTGTTCCTTTGTGGATAACATAGTGACTCTGTATATGTCGTGCGTGTGTGGAGTCTGAGTGTGTCCTGTTAGATGCTCTGACGAATTTCTTCTACTTTTAAGAAAGATAGGTCAGAACTCGAGCCAAGATGAGCTTTAGAAGTTTCTGAGCATGGATTAATAGTTCAAAACTTCTATTTCCTTTTCTAGTATGTATTATCTGATACTCCGGATCCCTGAGAATGTGACCATAACTGATAGCACGATTATGTAAAAAAATTATGAACATAAGGTTTCAGCTACTTTACGTCACATATATACATGTATATTACCTTGCACTAGCTAGATTGCTTTTGCTTTCTTGGTGTTGGTATATTCTTTTACAATTTTTCACTTCTCTGTTTGCAGGCAGCGTTATACCAGACAGATTTCCGCCCGGTTCCACTGGAGGAGTTTATTAAAGTTGGTAACACAATTTACAACAAACAAATGGACATTGTTCGGACAATCTCAAAAACAGCCAACCTTGGTGGTAAAGATCCTGATCATATTGTAGAATTATGCAGTGAGGTCTGGACTTTCTCTTTCTACTTTGAGTGAAGCTTTTCTTGTTGTAGAGTTAAACAATTATGACCAGTTGAATGATATTAGGTTGTTCAAGATGGCCACTCGGTGCTCCTATTTTGCTCTAGTCGAAAAGGATGCGAATCAACTGCCAGGCACGTTTCGAAATTCCTCAAGAAATTTTGTGTCAGTGTTCATCGTGATCAAAGTGAGTTCATTGATATTAGTTCTGCCATTGATGCCCTACGGAGGAGTCCTGCAGGATTGGATCCAGTATTAGAAGAAACTCTTCCTTCTGGTGTTGCCTTCCACCATGCTGGTCTCACGGTATGTCTTTTGAAGTTACTGCTTTAATTAATGAATTTTCTTTTTCTAGCTTGGTATTCTGTTTCTCTTGCTTCTCTCTCTGTTAAGGTCTTCCTTGTTCTTTTTTTCGTCCCAATCCATATCATTGTTTATGTTTTCTATTTGTACAGTCTGTTAGATTATTGAGATGTGAATTTATTCTCATTGATTTGAAATGCACATTCAGTTATCCCTATAAAGAGGGTCAGGCAGTTTGTTTCTTCTAATACAGGTTGAGGAAAGAGAGATTGTTGAAACCTGCTATCGTAAAGGACTTGTACGTGTCTTAACTGCTACATCTACCTTAGCTGCGGGGGTTAACCTGCCTGCGAGGAGGGTCATTTTCCGACAACCTAGGATTGGTCGTGATTTCATTGATGGGACACGGTACAGACAGATGGCTGGTCGGGCTGGACGGACTGGAATTGATACAAAAGGGGAGAGTGTATGTTATTTGCTACATGCATCATTATAATTTTTTATCGGGACATTAATTATTTTCTTGGGCAATATGTTAAATTTCTTATTTTTGGTTTGGGATCTGCTTTATTCCAATTTAATTTCAATGTAGCCTCAATTTTTATTCTTTTTAACGATTCCACCTTAACCAGGTGCTAATATGCAAGCCAGAAGAGATCAAAAGAATTATGGGGCTCTTGAATGACAGCTGTCCTCCATTGCACTCTTGTCTGTCTGAAGATAAGAATGGGATGACCCATGCAATTTTAGAAGTTGTTGCTGGTGGGATTGTCCAAACTGCTAATGATATTCATCGGTATGTTAGGTGTACTCTTCTCAATTCCACAAAGCCATTTGAAGATGTGGTGAAATCAGCACAGGATTCTCTTAGGTGGTTATGCCATAGAAAGTTTCTTGAATGGAATGAAGACACTAAGTTATACAGTACCACACCTCTTGGCCGTGCGGCTTTTGGAAGTTCTCTCTGTCCAGAAGAATCACTTGTAAATATTTACAAATTCCTCTCTCTCTCTCTCTCTCTCTCTCTCTCTCTCTCTACTTTCAAATCTGTGCTTATTGTGGTGCCAATGCATTCTTGAACATTCTCTTTTGTTCGGTTTGCTCATGTCTTCATCTTTGTTCTCTTTTGTGCAACTGACTTTTGTAAGTTGATGATTTAAGGATATTTGGATATAATTATGCATTTTGTTGATTGTTTTCTAGATTGTGCTGGATGATCTTTCAAGGGCGAGAGAAGGATTTGTGCTTGCATCTGATTTGCATTTGGTGTACTTAGTAACACCCATTAATGTTGATGTTGAACCCGATTGGGAATTGTATTATGAAAGATTTATGGAATTGCCTACTCTTGACCAGGTAACTTTGCTTTGTATCACTGTTGGGTTTCTGCTAGTCCTAGTCAGTATGTTTAATGGTCATTCTTCCATTCAAATTGCTTTGTAGTACTAGTATCGAATTGGTTTCAAATTTTCCTTTTAATTTTTTCAATTTATTACTTTCATATGTATCCTATGAATATATAGAACTAGTCTTATGTTTTTTAGGCTTGGTTTTTTCATAGACATGTTTCATGATACTCCTCTATATTTTTGTATGTATCTATTCGTGAAGCTGTCACAGTTGGGGTTGAGGTTTAGTTGAATTGAGATTGTTTATGTGTATATATATATTTGTCCTCGTGGATATTTTACTATGTTTTTAGAAATGTGTATCGACCACAGTCATTTTGTTGTGTTGTTCAAAAGTGTTTGCACCGTGACTAGTTACTACAAATAGTAATGTGTTTATTTTTCTTCTAATGTAGTCACTCGTGTTTTGATAAATGTCCAATGCATTGAGAATCTTCAGAGGTGGTGTGTGGGATTCATCAAGAGTTGTTTATATTCTGGGTTTTCCAAAGTTCAGTGTTATTTTAGGGTTGTGTTGGCTGAGCCACTAGAAGTCCGTATGTCTGTTGAGGGCTTGTCTAAGTCATTTGTGATGTTTTCTTCTCCTATCCTTGTGACGGCCTAAGGTGCATTTCCCTTAATTAATGGTAGCCTGTTGCATGTGTAATTCATAAGGACTCCCAAGAAGTGTGCCTTTCCTTGTATTGTTGCCCACTTTCTCTCGTTGCTTCCTTACTTTGTTTTAGATATGTGCACTACTTTATGACATGTTGGCTGACTTCCTACTTGTAAGGGAACTTTAGTTTTGAGGTTAACCACTCAAGCAAATAAATGTAGAGGTTAGGTCTATAGCTCTTCTTGGACCCTTTTTCGATGGGGTTACCAAGTATAATGGCATTTTGTTTGATGAGTTTGACCTTTAACTTCTAATACATCTTTTAGGTGGGACCAAAGATTACTAGTGTTGCTCAGGTAATGGTGAAACCAAATTCTTGGAAGAGCTTAATTTGTTATTATTTTTAAAATTGCCACCGCCAGTGGTATGGATATGCAATATAATTGACTGTGAGATGAGTTAGTAGAATGGTATTCAAGCTCCTTGGATGACCAAGGCTGGACTCTGGTATGACATGCAAAAAGACTTAGCAACTATGCTCTTGGCATCTGACAATTAAGAGTTGAAAGCAGAACTTTTCACTATCCTTTGAGGATAAGCAGACGGATGTCCAAAAGAAATATATTGCTAACATCCTTAATGTGAAATTAAATTGCTAGAGATGTTCAGAATCTGTGCAATTTTTCTTTCACAAATGAATACTTATGAGTTGTGTGTGACATTAATTAATTTGTGATAAATTATTTGCGTTCAGATTCCTTTTCTCATAGTAAACCTTTATCAAGTAGTTCGGGAAAGGCTTTGCTGAGTTGATTTTATTTTTTATTATTTTTATTTTTTTTAAGAGATTTATTTATATACAATTGTGGATCTGAGGGCTGCTGTGGTGTCAGTGTTTGAGGTCCACATTTTATACATAAGGGACCTTTTGGTTTAACATAATTGCTATGGTTTTGGAACTCCTATTATGCTAGTTTATTCTTGTATATTTGGACACAGTAAATTATTGAAATGCTAGTCTAAAAAACACAATGAACTGCCACTACTAAAAGGGTCCTGGTCTTGCGATGATATTTTGGTTAGTTCATGTAGCACTTCTCTCTCTCCGTGTCTCTTTTCTTTAATGCATGTAATTCATTCCTCAGGTGGTCCAATTTTGTGCTCTGCTTCGGCTGTTGTGTGATTCTAGCAATTTTGTCAAGCCTTGCCTCCATTTTATTATTTTAAGATTTTGTGGGCGTTGATGGTTTATCAGTGTCAGTTTTGAGAAACTTACCTCAATTTTGATTGCTTTTGAGATTTTTTTTCCCAATCTAGATACAAATTACCTATTTTTTTTTATATATAGACACTTATCCTGCATTCAATTTCATGAGATGCAGTCAGTTGGCAATCGAGTTGGTGTGATAGAACCCTTTCTGATGCGCATGGCCCATGGTGCACCCATGCGTACTAAAAACAGATCAAGAGATAACGTGAAAGGGTTGCAGGGAAGATTTTCAGACCATAGTATGCTTTCAGATGAGCAAACACTCAGAGTGTGTAAAAGATTCTATGTCGCGCTCATCTTGTCAAGACTTGTGCAGGTGAAATTTTTTGTCATACATGATGAATTTAACCCGTTCCTTTCTCTCTTTTATTTGTTTTTCTTTGTCTCCTCCCTCTTATCTCCTTAGATAAGTTTAAATTACACAACCTACAATGTATTTGTGTTGATATGTATCTGTTTTTATATTAATATTGAATAGCCAATTTACACATCTTTCTACATGTTTTTGGGTGCCTCTCTTGTGTCACCTCATATCTAGGATTCAGAAGGAAACGGAAAATGCTATTGTCTCTTCTTGTCCATTCATACCATATTTACAACTAACCTCATATCCTTGCCTTTCATCTCCTATATACGATTGCTTTAATGTGTGCATTATGTGTGTGCTTGGATTAATCTGCATAGCACAATAATATGCATTTTTCTTATTTATGCTTGATATATTCTTTTAATAATGGGATAAAGGAAGTAGCTGTTGGCGAGGTTTGTGAAGCTTTTAAAGTGGCTCGAGGCATGGTTCAAGCCTTGCAAGAAAATGCTGGAAGGTTCGCATCTATGGTTTCCGTGTTTTGTGAGAGGCTTGGTTGGCATGATCTGGAAGGCTTGGTTGCCAAGTTTCAAAATCGAGTTTCCTTTGGAGTTAGAGCTGAGATCGTAGAGCTTACTAACATTCCGTATGTTAAGGCAAGTAGATTCTTGTGTTATTAAATATATGTATATTTTTGTAAAGTTTGGTCCAACGGATAATCCTAAGAGCTATTGGGCTTTCCTTGGGGTTTGATGGAGAACTTTGCATAAGAAGTTTCAAGATTGTCCTTATTTAGTATTCCCCTTACTGTATCTATTCATCATTGTTGTCGTCATCATTGTTGTCATTGTTTCATCACCGCCATCATCATTATCAGTATTATTATTGCTTCTCTTACTGCATTTTTAGGGTTCTCGAGCGAGAGCACTTTATAAGGCTGGCTTGCGCACACCTCAAGCAATTGCTGAAGCATCAGTTCCTGAAATTGTTAAAGCTCTTTTTGAATCTTCATCATGGGCTGCACAAGGTAATTTTTTTTTTTTTTTTTTCTTTTTTTTCTTTTCCTGTGATGGTTCCTGATGGTTTTTCAACTATAATTGTTTTCTGTGATGACAAATTTTTCTTTAGGGATATTTTTTGTGGTCTCTTATGTTCTCTAGAAATATAATTGATAGATAATATGCTGAATGATAGATATTTTTGATTAACTTATGTACTTATATTTCGTAAACCAGACTAAGTAGCGGGGTATAAGCTACTAGGATTCTTTGTTATTTGGGGCATATATATCCTAACAACTAAAATTGTTTTTAATATTGCCATGAATACATGGCACTAACTCCAGCGGTTCTTTAGAATATTGATCTTCTTTTATGCAATTGCTTTTTTTTTTTCTTCGTATTTCATCTTGGTTGCGCTTTCTAATATGCTAGAATGTTTGAACATGCAAACACAGACACGAGTTTGTTTTATGACTAATCATTTTAGTGGCGTAATTAATCCTGCTTTTTTGGAAGGCAAACATCTTTAAAGGCCTGATCACGTGCCATGAATAATTTATGTCAGTGGATTTAGGTCCATTTTACTGCATGCTGTTGTCACTTGTTTCCTTGGTTCCAGATTTAGTTGCATTCACGTATTTTAATTTCTTTGTTTGAAAATTCTTTTGTTCCTATCTGTTATAGCATTAATGCATTATATTTCCTTCTTCTGTTTTGTATCCTCAAATTTGGTCAATGTTCCTACATTACCATAGAAGGTTCAGCACAACGGCGGATACAGTTGGGAGTAGCCAAGAAGATAAAGAATGGTGCACGCAAAATTGTTCTTGAAAAAGCTGAAGAGGCAAGAATTGTTGCCTTTTCTGCTTTCAAATCACTTGGACTTGATGTTCCCCAGTTTTCTCAACCCCTAACTGCTGCTGGTAATACCATACGAAAAGAAGCAAATACCTCTTCCGTAGAAGTGACTACTGGTAGTTCTCTCGGTGTAGGGCATGGAAAGGGTGTTCCTGCTGAGCCTTCTGTGGAAGGAAGTGATAATTTTGATAATGTTAGTTCTGAAGTTGAAGGAGAGAAGTCAACAAAAACCTCACGTGTTGGCGTAGGGGCTACAATGGAAGCAAACTTAACTGTTACCATGCGAAGTAACTTTGGTGCTGAAAATCCCGCTGCAGCTGTTGAAGGGTCTGATAGTCTTGATTCTGAACTTAATACCACTGTTGATCATATTGATAATGTAGACATGGGCCCCTCTGTCCAATTAAGAGGTACTGGTAATGCAAATAGAATATCTGAAAGAAAAAATGCTTGTCTTGGTAATAGTGAAAATACTTGCGATAAGGGTCCTCTCAATGCAGTTCATGCTCTTGGTGGATTTGATTCTTTCTTGGATCTCTGGGACACTACCCAAGAGTTTTATTTTGATATACACTTTCACAAAAAATCTGAAGTGAACTCTATTGCTCCTTTCGAAATATATGGCATTGCAATTTGTTGGGAAAATTCTCCTGTATACTATGTCAATCTTCCTAAGGATCTATTGTCATCTGATAGCCGAAGAAATGATAGCTTGTCCACAAGTGTTTCTGGTGATAACATGAAAATTCTAGTACCAAAGAATCGGTTAGAGATAGCTAATCAAAGATGGAATAGGATAGGTTCGATAATGGGAAAAAAAAGTGTCAGAAAGTTTAGTTGGAACTTAAAAGTTCTGATTCAGGTGCTGAAAATTCCTTCCATTTCCATTCAAAGACTTGGTGACCTGAACCTTGCTGTGAAAACAATGGGAGTAGGCATTGACAGCTCATACTATTTGTTGGCTCCAGTTTATGTACGAGATGGAATTGACATGTGCATTGCAGCATGGATCCTTTGGCCTGATGAGGAGAGAAGCTCTAGTCCAAATCTGGAAAAGGTAAATTCAATTATTATATTAACAAATATCAGGATGTATTTATGTCTGAATTATTTTTGCTAGTGTAAGAATACCTTTGATTGTATGGCACTGCACAATCTTTTATTTTTGTTAGTTCACACGCTGAAAATCTTTTTTTTTATGGAAATGTTGTTTGGAAGTTCATCATGATTCAACCTCTTTTTATTTATTTATTTTTAAATTTGCAATTCAAAAATAGGAAGTTAAGAAAAGATTATCCAGCGAGGCTGCAGCTGCTGCTAATCGGCATGGTAGGTGGAAAAATCAGATGCGAAAAGCTGCACATAATGGTTGCTGCCGTCGTGTTGCACAAACACGAGCCTTATGTTCTGTTCTATGGAAATTACTAATCTCTGAAGGACTTGCTGAAGCACTTATGAGCATCGAAATCCCCCTGGTGAGAGCTCTTATGCCATTACGGATGACACTTCTTATCTGGCATGCAGCCTTTTATTTGAGTCTTGCATTTGAAAATTGGGAAAGAATTTTAGACATATACAAGATAAAGGCAATCAGATGATTTTGGACAACTGAAACCACTATTAATCTTTATGCTGTTGTTGTTCTTTTTTTTTTGCTCCCCCCCCCCTCCCCCCCCCAAAAAAAAAAAAAAAGTGGAGGCATAGCCCCACTGATTACAACTCAGAAAAGAAGAGTGAAAAGGACCATTTCCAATACACTTGGAAACAAAGAAAAACAAGACAAAAAATGAGTCTTAAACTAAAATGTAAGAATACAGTGGGAGTCTTCAGTGATAGTTTTTGTATTTGATTGTCTACAGCAGTCTGGGATGGCTGATTTTAGCCACTAAATTACTTTTCTGTCCAAAGTGAAAGAAATGCCTTGAGGGTGACCCAATTATGTTGGTTTTGTTTCATTAAACTCCTTTTTTCTTTTGAATTGGATTTCAATGAACATATGTTTGAGGTGTCAAATAAGAGTCAATCCTCTTTTGAAGAATCAATATTCCCATTTCTTATAGATGTTCCTATATATGAATTTCTTTTCTTTTCTTTTTTTATGACCTCCTTATTTTATCTGTTTTTTTGGTGGGAAGAAGTTTGTGATTTGAACTTAAATATTGTGCTTGTGCATAGGTTAAAGTTCTTGCAGATATGGAGGTTTGGGGAATAGGTGTTGACATGGAGGGATGCCTTCAGGCACGGCATGTGTTGGGAAAAAAACTTAGATATCTTGAGAGGGAAGCTTACAAGCTTGCTGGCATGACATTTTCATTGTATACGGCGGCGGATATTGCAAATGTTCTCTATGTCCACTTGAAGCTGCCTATACCGGAAGGCTACAATAAAGGGAAACAACACCCAAGTACTGACAAGCATTGTTTGGATTTGTTAAGGTATTGAAAAGGATCATCATTTTTCCCCTGTTATATATCTCAATGTCCCCTTCCCCTTTTAAGTGAAATTAGTTGCTGAAAGAAAATCTTGCAAATCTTTACTTGAGCAGATTGAACTCATACCCCACACCCCCCACCAACACACCCCCCACCCCAATTAACAGATTGAACTTGCATTGTGACTGTAGAAAATTTTGTGGATTCCTTAGACTTTAATGATATGCATGTATGCAACTTACTACAAGAAAAACATTTGTGAATATCAACTGTTGTCTGTTTTGTCAATTCTCCTTTCCTACATCGAAGTTGTATTTTTTTCGCATTTAGTGCTTCTATTGAATATGATATCATTCTGCAACATGCTTCAATTGATTGTTTTGTAGGTTTTATCACCACATGGTGGTCCATTATGTTATGAGAAGACTTTGCCTTGGCGGTTATTAATATTTTTCTGGAAGCAGCTCTGTTCACCTTCTCTCTCTCTCTCTTTCTGTCTCTCCCCTCCTCCCTCATTTGGTTCTTCTATATACTGGAGAAATTATCCCATGCGCACCCATCTTCAGTTGGTATCGTCTCATCTTCCAAAGTGGAAGGTTGAGTATTCAAATCTCTGTAGGGGTACAATGGGTGTGTGGAGTTACTTTCTTGGAGACAAAAAAATTCCAGGAGATAATTCTAGAGGTTTTGTTCCAAAAGTAGGGCATTAAACTAATATAATGGCCATCAGAAGCAGTTCATCTCCAAAATGGTGTCAAAGCACCCTTACTATTTCGGATTTCTTTTCTCAATAACATGTGAAATTTTAAGAACTTACAATGTGACGACCTCTGTGGGCGGGTGTGATGTGGGCGGGTGCGAGACACTAGATGAGCTACCACACTGGCAGGCTACAGGGTGTCATTATCCCACTTCGCATGGGGAAGGTGAAATGCTAAATGTAAGGTTCAATACGACATAACACGTTTTAAAGCCATGATGGCCGTGAACCCATCAGAACTCCGCAGTTAAGCGTGCTTATTCTGGAGTAGTACCAGGATGGGTGACCTCTTGGGAAGTCTCTGGTCTGGGGGAGCCAAAAGCGGACAATATTGTATCCAATAGTAATTTTATTTGTAACATTCTTCCTATTATTTAAAGTGTTTTTTACGCACTCTTGTAACACGTAGTTTTCAGCTTGGTCTTAAAATTGGTAATGACTAGGGAATTGAACAAGTTTTGTTTAAAGTAGGTGTAACTGGTTTTCTAGCTTGTAATTTGCCTTTACTCAGTTGTGCTAATTTCATTCTGCCTGTTCATTTCATGTTTGCAGTTGATTGTATTGCTTTCAGATTTAGTTTTAGGCTAAAGTATGGGTAAAATTTACTTCTCCAATGATTTTACCGAGGGGCTTATATCTGAGAAGGCCCATGTTTTTGCTTTCTGAAAATGTTAATATAAATGGTGTTTGATTTTTGAGGTGGAACATTTGCTGCACTGCGGGAACTCTGTGATACATTGCGTCATAGTGCATGATTTTTGCTTTATTTATCGTTTCATTCCCATACTTCTTATGTTGTAGACATTAAATGGTTTTTTTTTTTTTTTTTTTTTTTTTTTTTTTTTTTTTTTTTTTTTCAGGCATGAACATCCTATTATTCCTGTCATTAAAGAGCACAGAACATTGGCAAAGCTATTAAACTGTACGTTGGGATCAATTTGTTCGCTTGCTAAGCTTTCTATGAGGACACAGAAATATACGCTGCATGGCCATTGGCTCCAAACATCAACAGCTACTGGACGGCTTTCAATGGAAGAACCTAATCTTCAGGTCTGGTTCTTTTCACCAATCCCTTTTCTCCTTTCATAAGTAGAAGCTAATACTTGGTGTTATGAATGATTTTTTGAGTTATGCAGTGTGTTGAGCATAAGGTTGACTTTAAAATGCATAACAATGACAAAGACTCAGGTAATTCAGATGCTGATCAATATACAATCAATGCCCGCGATTTTTTTGTCCCTACCGAGGTAATTGCTTTTTATTATTTGCATATTTTTCTGTAAGGATCAGAAGTTGCTGTGTGGTACATTTTAGTTGCTGAAAATTGTTTGCAGGACAACTGGTTACTGTTAACAGCAGATTATTCTCAGATAGAATTACGGTTGATGGCTCACTTCTCTAAAGACCCTTCGTTAATTGAATTACTTAGTAAACCACATGGTGATGTCTTTACCATGATAGCAGCAAAATGGACAGGGAAAACAGAGTCTACTGTTAATTCTCAAGAGCGGGATCAAACCAAGAGGTTGGTCTATGGCATTCTGTATGGAATGGGTGCTAATACCCTCTCAGAACAATTGGAATGCAGTTCGGATGAGGCTGCAGAAAGAATTCAAAGCTTTAAAAGGTTATTTCCCGGTGTGGCTTCCTGGCTTCAAGAGGCCATTACATCATGCCGTCAGAAAGGGTGAGATCATTTTTTCTCAACTTCCTATTCTTGTAATTGTCCCAAATTTCAAGTAAGGATAGACATAATGCCTATATTATAGCATTGGATCATGTCTGACTGTCCAAATTTAGAATTTCACATTTATTTATATGGGAGTTATTATATGAATCTTATTATCGAATCTTTGTTCCCCTAGCATAATCGTGTGCATGCCTTCCACTCTCTTAGGAAGTTCTATAAAAGAATCTTTACTTTTAAAAATTTATGAAGCCCTTTGTTGCCATATTACTTCTATGTTTCAAATTGTTATTTATATTTATATATAGTTATAGTTTATCATGCCTTCTCTTTGGAATCAATATTCCTACTTTAGGGCTGTATAAACCATCTATTATTCATTTATTGTTTTGGTACAGATATGTGGAAACCCTCAAGGGAAGAAAGCGGTTTTTGGCAAAAATAAGAATTGGAAACAATAAAGAAAAATCTAAAGCTCAGAGACAAGCTGTGAATTCTATTTGTCAGGTTGATTTTCTTTTATTTATTCCTTTGTTGGGTGTTGTAAGGATAGCGGGAAAGATAGTTATACTGTACTGGTTGCTGCGTTTGTAGGGCTCTGCCGCTGATATAATCAAAACTGCGATGATAAATATACACTCTGTGATTGTTGGAGAAGTTGACATGCCTCATTCTGCCACTGCATTTGCAGCAAAATTTCACATTCTTAAAGGCCGCTGCCGAATTCTTTTACAGGTTATTTGGAAGACTGCTGTCATTTATCTGTATACTTTTCAATTCAAGTGTCAACTATCTAAATACTTTTTTATTCAGGTGCTTCTCACACACAATGTTCTTTTCTTCTTCATGCAATGTGTTGATAGATGAACGTGCTCAGAGCATGGCACTTACATAGGAGACTTTGATAGATGAACGTGCTCAGGAGCATGGCACTTACACAGGAGACTTAGATTCTTATACCTGATGTCTTCAACATACATAGATCTGTTTGACATGACCTAAGTTTTCAAAAAGTGTGGAATCTGGAAAGATCTCTTACACATTGCTAGCCTTTGGATGTTTGACATGGTGGAAGAGTTCCCCCCCGCGTCTACGCGCCCCCCCCCCCCCCCCCCCCCCCCCCCCCCCCCCCCCAACCCACCCACACGCACCCACCCACACACACCCACCCACCCACCACCAGTGCGCGCACAAAAAAAAAAAGGATAAAGAAGAAACAAATTTTTGATGTGCACCTAATGCTTAGTTAGTTTGACATTTTGTTGCGTTAAAGTACAGATATTATTTTCATTATCTAAGTTACAACAACCACCACCAAGCCTTTTCCCAATTACTTGGGGTCAGCTACATGAATCCTATGTTTCCATTCCGCTCTATTTAAGGCCATAGCCTTAGTCATATTCTCATTATTGAAATAAATAATCTTTTTTTATTTTCTTTAATGCTGCGCTCATCTTAATCTACTTTTGACACGATCACAACAAATTATGTATAATCACAACAAAATATGTAGATGTTGCTTTATATGATTTTGTAGAGTGAAAATTTCTGGTTTGTTAATGTAATATATTTGATTTTTCAACATTTATGCCTTTAATGACCATACTTCTAGAGTACTAGACATACGTTAGTGAAAAGTGTGTGATTTAGAAATGAACTGAAACGAGCTAATAGGACAAAGTAGTCATTTAAGAAAATAGTGCCAAAGGTTAGGTTTGCCTCCATCTAGCAGTTGCAGGACCATGTGGTGGCAGTAGAAGTGCTAGATAATGGTATTTGAATTTCAAAAGAAAACTTATATACAAACAAAATTATATGGAGAAAAAGTATATGCAAAGTGTAAAATGATAAACAGATGGAGTAACTACAAATTTTAATAAAATTACTCAGTTGCTGAGATTAACACTAATGAAGAATTTTATCCTATTGGTATGAATGTCAACAGTTAAGAAATGGAGCTATGCAGATTTTGATAAAGATTATTCACATACTGAATTAAACACTAGTTAAGAATTTTATCCTTTTTATAGAAAGCTTTCAAAAGTTTATGTATATCAAGAGCTAAGGGGGAAAAATGTCTACTTATGTTTACGTAGGAAACAAATGAAAGAATATTATTAGAAGAAAGAAGAACATGTAATGAATGGATAGTTAACATGAAGAGCATGTTGTGTCACGAGCTATATGTACCCATTGAATACGTTGGTGGAGATGATAGTTTTTTTTGTTTTAACTTTGTTTTTAATACCCTTCATCTGTAGTGATTTCCCTTTATTTAGGCTTATTATTTTCGGTGGTGTTTGATTTGGGTTTTACCTCTTGTCCCTCTTCTTCTTCCTCTCTCCTCTCTCTCCACTTCTTGTTCTACATCAGGAATCCTTCATAGGTTTCAAAAAAAAGCTAATCACATATAATGAAAATAGAAAAATTATTGGAAGACACGTCAAACTCCTCCTCACAAGCTCTCAAGGATGTTAAATATGACTTCAATAAGGAGATGATTTAGTAGCTCTTCTCTTGGCAATAGAATCTGTTTTGTCCTTGCAATTGTTGGGTTTCTACAGTTTTTTCTCTAAATGACCATAGAAGTCCAAAGTCCTTCAGTCTCACCCACTATAGCACCAAGTCCTCATCGTCCTCAATTTTCACTGATTTGAATGCATGGAAGAAGCTTCCCTTAGGCCTTCCAAAAGCACATGAATCTCTGCCTCAGTAGTGAAACCAGTTGTACAGGCAGGCACTGTATTTCCTCCGTGGTCTCTGAAAATGGTCCCAATACATTACAGCTCTGGGTGTTGCCACTCGAAAATCCGTCAATGTTATCAATATCTACTGGGTTTTACTCTTTTAATAGAAGCACAACCAATTATTTGAATTGCAGCAACTGAGACTTCTCATAAGTTCAATTGTCTGGGAGCTCAGTGCATGTTAGCATACAAGGGCTGACAATATCTACTGGTTTTTACTCCTTTAATAGAGCTCTACATGTATGTCAGCATACAAGGCCAAACCATCTTGTCATGTAAACTTTGAAGGTGCAAAATGGAACTCTACAAGAAACAAAAGGCAATCTATTGTATTTTAAATATTTATAGTGTTCGGAATACTCTGAACTGAAAATTCCTAAATGTCAAAAAATCGTTGGTAACATTTCTTCTCACTTGGGACATTGTGGGATCATATCCCTAGGTGGGTCCAAATCTTGTAGTTAGTCCAAATCTTGTAGTTAGCTACATGTAGTAATCTTAGTGGCTAGGTGTTCAACTTGATTTCTATCACATTATAAAGCTGGTCCAAAGATTAGTGATGACAGTTGACAGCTAGGTGCTCAACTGAGATTAATGCCATGTGAACTTGGGGGGTGTCATATACGGGTTTGCTGAAAGTGGGAGTCCTTTTTCTCTATCTAAATCTCCTTAAACAAACAAATGACTTCCGACTTGTTATTGAGCTTATCTGAAGTCTATCCTTCTGATAGCAACACAAGAACTGTAAACTTCATATTTTCTAGTTTTAGCACAGAAAGCATTAGATTAACACAAAAGAAAGGATCTCTCTAAAACTTTTTTTTTTCCTCAGTGGGTTTTTATTTATTTTTCCCTAGTTGGTACTCACACACGTCTCTTTTGAGACTTGAACCCCTGACCTCCCTTTGGGAAGTAAGAGGCTGAAACCGCTAGGCACTGGCCCGTTGGTTTTTCCTCAGTGGGTTGTGGTTGTCTGTTTGAGATGAAGCATCTTGAATCAGGCATTTTACTCAAGCTGTGTGGGGAGGGCATGGGAATTAATATTTGTTGTTTGTCACGTCCTTGCTGTTTTGTACTTTGTTTTCAAAAGATCTGCTGGGCTGCTGCACCATGCCCATGCAAATTTTTGTGCTGTTAGACTTTTATGCACTGGGATAATCTTGCCTGACTTTTGGTAGTGGAGATGGAACATGTTCCTTGTTGACTTTGTATCACATGTCCATTTCAATGTAACATTCCTTTTATTACCTTGTAGGACTTTTATTACCTTGTAGGCACCAAAGGTTTTTATTTACTTCATATAATAGGGATGAAATTTGTTTGACTGAAATGTGATTACTATGCTCACATATCTTCTCCAGGTCCATGATGAGTTAGTACTGGAAGCTGATCCTTCTGTTATAAAGGAAGCAGCATTGTTGCTTCAAATGAGCATGGAAAGTGCTGCCTCGCTTCTTGGTACGAACTTTATAATTGATAGTTCATTTCTTGCTTTCTTCTACTTTTTCTAATAATGTTTTGTTTTTGTTAACAATAATATTACTTATTATTTTAAGAACACAGATTCACTTAATTCTTTTTTTTTTATTTTTTAGTTCCTTTGCATGTCAAGATGATGGTTGGGCGAACATGGGGATCTTTGGAGCCTTTTCTAGTTGAAGAATATAAAGATGAATTTATTGCACCCAATTCTTAGGTTACAAAGAGCCGTCTTTGCTTTTAATCTAAAATGAATTTCTTGATTCAAGAACAAATGGCTTTTTGGAGAGACACGTGTTATTGGTGGTAAGTGCATTAAATTATGATGATATCTTTATTTGCAAGTCTGAAGGGCTATCATTTAGCAATGTTCTGATTTTAAGATGTATCTTTTGCTGCAGTGAAACCTGCCAAGTTTCTAGTCAAGCAAATTAATCTTGCATATGGGGCTCGGTGGAAAATTTACTGCATGAGTTGCAGTATCGCAATTATTTTTGTCCTCACCTGACATAAAGCAGAAGGAGCGTTCCAGAAGAACTTTAGAGGTGCGAAACAAATGCTGTTGCTTCAACAATTTCTTTGGAAGACTGGTTTCCACTGGTCATCTCATACTTAAAATATTTAATAAGTTCGTTCTGAGTTTGATGTGATGGATGGTATGGTGCAATGTCTCTTTCTTAATGTGTTTTTCAATTCTACGGTTTTTTGGTGGATTTAGATCTTCTTCCCTCTTGATAAGGAGTTTCTGGACTTGCCTGACATTTTAACCCCAAAGGTTATGACAAGATATGAAGGTATGTGCTATCTGGTGGAAGTCCGAGTGTTGTGTATTTAACTATGTCAAAATTAAATTTAAGGTATGCATTGGTGATGCAGATGATAGAGGAGGTTCACATGTTGCAGAGGAGAAAGAGTATAATGACCCATGAAGAGATAGGTTGATCTATCTAAAATGATCTGTAGGTGCCATTTCTAGTGATTTTGGGTTGAAAGAAAAACAAAAAAAGTTTGAAATGGTTATGTGAGGTGCTTTGGAAGGAACTTACAAATGGATGATAATCACATTGGTCCTTGAGAACTTGCTGCTAGCGTATGTGATAATCTTGCCAGATGGTAAGGGATTCTTTTTTCCCATTTTGGTAGATGATAAAGGAGGTTCAAGTGTCGCAACAGACACAAATGAAATGGTCACCTAAGAAATGGATCAGTTCAACTGAGTGACATGATTCTAGTGATAAAACCTATGAAAACGTAATAATTGGAACCTGAGGCTTTGATGCAGAGTTGTGCAAGGTACACTGATCTAGACCTGGAGGGGGGTGAATAGTCTTGTAGAGCAAATTAAATTTCTTGTTAAATTCAGATTTATTATACTTGATTATGCATCTCGATCAATCCATGCATAATCATATATAATCAAGTACACTGATCTAGACTTGATCATCGTATTAAAACCATGCATAATCAAGTATATTTGGAATCAAAATAAGTTTAGAACTTTGAAATTAAGATGCCATGTATAGCAATGCATGTTCCTAATTTTGGTGAGTGTGCGTCGTAGTGTGAAATTACCTTTTTACCCTTGTTGATGAAGATTACCATTTTGACCTTTGTAGTAGAATAAAATCCATCTTTAATTTGAAGGCAATTACACTTAACTAACTTTTGACAAATTATATCTAAACTAGGAATTAAAACAAAAGTACATGAATCGTGTTTTCATCTAGAAATTTGCCAACTTAGTCTTATTGAACAAACATCTAGTTCTAGTTCTAGTTCTAGCTAGTTTGACTTAAATCAATCAAAAAGTCTTTAAACTTAGAAGAAAAGAGCACTGAAAGAACCTTCATGCGGTTATGCTGGTGATAATCAATTGGCTATTGAGGTTCTCTTTGCCAATTTCTTAAAATTTCTCACTGTTCTGTGTTTTGAATTGTCATGTAGCTTGTGAAGGATTTTAAAGCAGGTATACTTCATCAATCATTGTGGAGTTTTTATGTGATTTGAATATAGTGGTTCCTGAAGGCTTATCCAGTTCTTCAGTAAGGCGATTCTTAAGCACCCTTTCATTGCCAAATGCTTATTTTTGTTGTTGGTGACTCCAAGTCATGTACAGATCTCCATGCTAACAATATTGAACTCTGAGATTTTTGGTGTGAATTTACTGTTGTAATTAGTTTGTTAATATGCATTAAAGATGATTTTTTTAGATGTTTCAAGAATTTCCTATTTTGTTGTCTATTGATTTGATGGAGATAGCTTGGGGGAAGGTATTCGCTGTTTAATGGTAAAACACACTCAGGAAGGTTCCTTACTCCGAGAATTTTGGGGACTGATTTTATTAGTTAGTGAACTATGAGAAAAAGAAAAAACACGAGTTATGAGATGGATATGAATTCCAGATTAGTGCTGTCAATTGATTTGATGAAATAGGTCAGGGACTGGTATTATTGTTTATTTAGTATTATCTCCAGAAGCTTACTTACACTTCATGTTCTGTAGAATTTCTTTATATGTGTATAATTTTTTGTTCTTTTTACCCTCTATTATACTGCAGAAAGATCGATTCTTTGGGATCCTTGCTTTCTTCAAGCTGAGCGAACTGAGATAGAATCAGACCGATTATCGAAATGCTTTTCTGGATATTCCTCAATCTCCCGGCTATTCATGGAACATGAGCTTCCGGAAGAAAAAGAAGAATTTCTTGGGAATCCTACAAGATCCATTCGTCCTTTTTCTCTGACAGATGGTCAGAACTTCATCTGGGTTCAAATCCTACTGAGAGGTCCAGATCAGAAGTTTACCAGTAACTGTGTGAAGTTTGCCATTTAACGGCTTTGAAATATGGCATTCCAGAGGAGCCTTGAGAAGAATGTTTATGAGAATCAGTATTCCTTCCAATATCATATACACTGAGGTTTTTATTTTTATTGAATTTTCTTTTTTGTCCTTCTTTACACTTCTGCTTCACATCTTTGCAATGTAGGCATCGGAGGTTTGATTGTGGAGGTTGAGACATATGTTCTGTTTACAACTACAATATTGAATTTACCTGTATTATTGTTCAGCAGTATCTCGGTTACTTGTGGTTCACACACTTGTTCCGCTGCAGGGTTAAATGTCAAAGCAATCTCAGCTTAAAGGTGGATCAAAAAATGGCCTCTAAACTTGAGTAAGATCAATTGCCATCTACGAACTACTTATTTTGTTTCATTTATGACCAATGGTATCATGTTCTGGGTCCTGTCATCATAAAAATAGTCTGATGTGGAGATTAAGTTTCGTTTGTTTAATGTGCGTGATCTGCAGAGCCCTAGTTTTCTAAAATGAATAAGTGAAATACATTCTTTAAATTTAGATTCACGAGTATTCTACATTTGGTAACACTCCTGCTGACATTTAACTTTGGTCAAGTTATATTCTATGGAGCCCAATCTTATTGTGGAATCTTAGATTCTTTAGACGGAAATTTGAGCTCTCAAGAAACTCTTTTTCTATTTATTATTTATTTTTCATTTTCTGGAATAAGTTGGAATCTGTAAGTGAATTAACATGTACATTATAATGGCATTGTTCATGTAGAACCACTTGTGCAACATAAATTTATGACTACTTGTTCGCCACCTGTTGTTACTTGAGTTTTTGTCTCCTGCCACTGCCAGAGGTGGAGGTGCATGTTTCAAATACCGGCTGGGATATGTGTGTATTAATTGTAAAAAATATTTTACTACTTGTTCAAATTTTCAGCTCTAGAAATCTTTCTCCCTACAGTTATGTACCTATATCTGTCCTTGTTTTTTTTTTTCTTCTTTGAAATTTATAGATTATACTCCTTCCGTCCCAAAATTCTTGCCCATCTTTCTATATCGGGATGTCACAAAACACATGTCCCATTCCAAGAATGGATGTACTTTTTGCATAATATACCTAAACTATCCTTTTGACATTGACTTCTGCACTAATTACGGAGTCTTCTTTTGTCTTTTAGCAAGGATAACTTTGGAAATTCACCCGCTACCATTAAAAGTTGGAATCCCCCAAAACCCAACAATTATGGGTTGGAGGGAGTATTTGATATGTTGAAATCTTTAAGTCGTGTACAAAGATGCTGGTTTAAATGTTCCTATGTGTTCTAAATCTTTGATGCTTCTGAGTGCAGAAGCTCCCCACAGATGCACTCATTCGTGGTTCTGTCTTTCCTTTTGATTTTAAGTTTTAATCAGCCAACATATAAAAGACGAGATTGAGTATATGTTCAACGGGAAAAAGAAACCAACTGTATGAGATATGACTGCTCCCATGGTATGCTCTTTTTTGGATGCAGAAGAAACTAGTGATAATTTCCATCTTCTCCTAGGGATGTTTGAACCATTCCTTGCTAGTTCTGTAATTTAGTCCTTCAATTTAAGGACAAGGTGGCACAGCTGGTTTAAGTTTCCTTCTTGTTTTTGTTTTTGGTTCAAGGGTAAAAGGAATTGTTAGCATAATATAGCACTCTTATCAGGCACTCTACCAAGCTTCTAGCAAATAGACAGGCCATTTTTTTAACACCTTATTACAGCTAATGAGGAATTCCCCCCAAATGGTAAAACATGTTTGTTTTCCTAATGAATTGACAAAACATGGGCTGAAAACAAAAATTCATATGTTTTCATCGAAATGAAGTTGTTTCGTTGAAACATACTTACAAACAATTGAAATATATCGAAAAAACAAACTCTTTGGCCATATTGAGAAGAATTAAAAAGACTGATTGCATTCTCTTTTTAAAATGCAAATATGAAGAGCAAGAAGAGAAGTGAAAGAGGAGATTGAAGCAGAGCTTGTAACTTGTCAAAAATGTCTATTTTGTGCATACAATATGCCATAGAGTTCAATCTATTATGACCTTGGATGCATATTTCACACCTATCCTTGTGCCTCATTGTGGCTGATTCGGTGTTTTTTCTCATTTTGATCATGTACATAGATCATTAGGTTTAGACCTGACATATAGATAATGTATTGACAGTGCTTCACCTCTGTCATAAAAAAATCGAATGGCAATGAGGAGTGAGTTTTCTATATCACATATGCCTTGTTGATTATTTTGCTCTCTGGAGAGTCTTCTTCACCTTGTATAACTCTTTGCGACTAACATACCTAGGCGTTTGCTCCATATGGGCTTATCGTTTGAAATTTTTTATGTAAGCAGGTGTTTTCATGCCAAGATGATACCACAACTATCCTATGGTGGTTGCAACTATGAGGTTGTGCTATGTTCTCCTAATTTTGGACATAACCACAGAAGAAGGCATTCGTATTCATGTTCACATGATGACAACTGATCGAAGGAGAAGGAATGTATTTAGGTTAAACAATATTGGACATAACCACAGGAGAAGGCATTCCTATTCATGTTGACATGATGACAACTGATCGGAGGAGATGGAATTTATCTAGGACCTTTAGGTTAAACTGGAGAAAAATGTACTCAAGCAAACACTTTAAAGGATGCTTAATGTCTGTCATTGAAAAACTGTTTTCTGGGCCATTGAGTTAATTTCTGAATCGTAGATGCCCAGCATTGTATAAGCCCTCTTTGGAGCCAATATTAATTTTTTTTCCTGATTCCTTTCAATTAATGTATGCCTCATCAATAGTATTTTTCCATTTAAAGGATGCTTAATGTCTGTCCAAACGAGTGGGGGAGAGTCTTAGTGAACAGGGAACAAATAGATGGCAGTTTAGAAAAAGTTAGAGAAAGACAATTATGGAGTGGAGGACAAGAAAAAGAATGTGAACCTTTCGTCCTTCAAGTTGAAATATTACTATTATTGGAGTTCTCAGGTAAGGGTGGAAGTCCAGTAGTACAGGCTAGTCTAGTTTCGTTTCCTGCTCTTACACTTGAAGAAACCTGCATGAGGAATGGTGATGACGCAGGTCTGCATCAATTGACCCGTCTGCCACAACTCACAAGGGGTTGAATTCTTCATGGGAGAAATGATTTGAATATCTAGTAAGGTAGTTAAATTCTTGTTAACAGAACTAGGAATATACTGCCAATTAATTCACTGTGGTTTCCCTTGTTTATCCCAGTGCTGGCCTCACGTATGATTATTCCTATTGAAGTGCAGTTATACTAATCATCACCATTGCCAGAATCACACTTGTAGAAGGGATTTTTAACCTCAAATTAGAGAAGCAAATAAATTTGAATTCTTTCAATTCGGTGAAGATCGAGCCATCTGGGATGAAGAAATTGTTGCTGAGAATATAGAGTGTAAATTTATCTCATTGCTTCCTGTCTTCCTAGATGTTTCCCAAGATGCTTAAAATTAGTTCTCCATGTATATAGAGAAAAGTTTGTCAAATTTGAGAGACTTCACATTGTTCTTTAAGGATCTCAAGATTACTTTGCAATGGTATGACAAATATGGATTGTCAAATTTCTTCTGTAGAGAAATATTTATTCATCAAACTTATATAGTCTCACCATGAAATGAAATATTCCAATGCAGTTTGTAGATACTAGATGCTTTTGTCTTCCTTCTGTGGAACCAATCTCTAAATACTTGTTGATCTATCATATATTCTGATGCTTTTCTCTTCCTTCCGATGCTTTATGATGTACCATGTATTAGAAATGACTTAAAAAGGTTAAATATAGTAGGTGATATGGCAGGTAGTAGAAAAGAATGGAGATAGATAATTCATGTGCCCGACCTATTCATATGGGAATAAGGCAAGGATAATGATGATCACGACAACGACGACGCTGATATAATTTGTGTTATTCAAGATTATTATATGGTCCGTTATTTTAATTCTATTCCCGAACCAGCTCATTGAAAAGTGGTTATATTGTCAGCATTCATCTTTTATGCGGTGGTAGTACTGTGATATTATTTGTCTTTTGCAACTAAAATGTAAGGTTCAAGGTTTCAACTTATAGACGTTGGTATATAAGTGTATAGATTAACTCAATTGTAACTACAATATTTTGAGAAGCAACAGGATGAAAGAATAAATGATGTGCGGAGGTCAAAGACCTAGCTTGGATTTAGAGAAGTGGAGAGGCTAGAGTTATGGAGATTAGGATTGGAAGGGAACAAATAATGTCCCTGTGGAGTGGGTTAACCTTTCTATTGATGAAAAGCCATTTGTGATTTGATACAAGTTTTTTTGAAATCAAGATGATTTGAAAAGTCAATAATAATCAATCTTTTGGACCTATATACACGTAAATGTGAGTAGTATTAGTGTCAGACAAAATTGTGTAATTTGTCGGTTGGAGACTGGGTGACCACCCCTCTTAATTGTGTATAGAGAAAAAATCATGAATTCTGCTGGAGCTTGGGCTGATTTTTACTGTTGCCTGTCTTCTGGAGCTTGGGCTGATTTTTACTGCTGCCTGTCTTCTGGAGCTTGGGCTGATTTTTACTGCTGCCTGTCTTCTGTCCCCACTTCCAATCCAATTGAGCTGCAGAAATTCAGGTAGGATATCTGTTTTAACATTTATTATATGGGCCATGCAGTTCAACACTCGAAGACTCCGATGTGATGCATGTATTTGGACCCAATCTGGCTGGACCTGATCCGAATTTGATACGGAAAATTTGCAATCCAATTATGCAGCTTAGTAGAAATTTGATCCGATAACTCAATTTGTTAAGGTGTAATTTTTGTTAAAATTTCATAATATAAATTAGGAAAAGTAAGAGAAAGAGAGGGAAGACTAGTAAATATTAACAAAAAGAGAAAAAAAAAAAAATAGTCAATTGATTCTTAGTTAAAGAAAAAAAAGAAGATAATATTATTTAAAAAATGAAGAAAAACTGAAATAATTAAGAGTGCCAATACTATTCATTATTAACCACAATGTAAATAACATTTTTTGATTACTTTTTTCATCAAATGCACACCAATTGATGGTGCATAATATTTGTGTGGCATATTATATTTGGTTGGTCGGATTATTATCGGATTGACCATAATTTGTATACGATTTGTTGATCTACTAGATTCTTGAATTTAAATTGTTAATGAATTATCGGATTCGAATTATTAATGAATTATTTGATTAAATATCTGATCCATCTATATCCAAGCTTTTGGATCGGATTCCAACCAAAATTCAGACCATTAATATGTGCCGGTGGTTGTAAGGTACCATCTGCTATGGCCTAGCATTTATGCCTGTCATTTTATTTGTGTATCAAGAATATTCTCATCCGCTCATTTCGTTTTTAGGTGTAGGTCGAGTAGATCAGAAGGCGCTCTCATGCTTTATGCAACCATCTTTATTGCAGTTGTGATGTTTCTACCATTTGTTCGTTGGAGATCACCTTACTATGTGCATTTCTACGTGGATTTCCGAAAAGAATTTTACTTGCTAGAGTTTTATGCTTAATTGCGATGATTGGAACTTTGAAAGGTTTTGCAAGTGGGATCTACTGCTGGAAAACAATTGAAATGTCTGGTCTTAGGATGAAATTTTTTTTGCACATGCCAATTAATTCAGTAGGCATCTTTCCCAAGTTGTTTGCATTTTTGTTTCCGTGTGATAATTGTTATTTTTATTTAACGGTGTTTTGGCCAAGCTTTTTTGTTAGATAATGACTTCGTTTCTTGGCATGAACCAAAGAAAAAAAAAAAAAAATTTGAGAAGAGAAGTTGATTATGGATTGTTGTCTTCAATTCCTTATCATTCAAAATGAGTATACCTAGCAACTGAATTGTGTCCACTCAAAGAGATTGCTGATTTACTTCGCTTGTATTGGTTGCTTAGTGTTATGTTGCAATCCTGACTCATTTTAAATTGCATATTTTCTTGATAATAATTAAAGAATATAATGGTGCTACTTACGTGAAGGGGTATCCTCTAAAATGGTTATTTTTTATGTTGTTAATTAATACTGGTTTCTGTTCTTGAGTTCCAATCGAAATTGAATTGATGAATTTACAAAGACATATTGATCATTTTTGCAATACTTGAAGCATGGGAGTAGTGCAGAACCACCACTAAATTCGCCCAGGCCCCTATATATATATATATATATATATGGTTGGCAACCACAGTATACTTCGATGCCAATATTATAATTTTTCTTTTTTCCTTCGTGTGCTAAGAGGGGGGGAAAATCAATAGTGTAATACCACCAAAATGAAAATATGTCTTATTCGATAATTAGATGCAACGTACAGATACATATGCATTACAGACAATGTGGTGGGGGTTGTAGTACTACATACTTATACATATATATATATAATTCTACATGTGTACAGTATGTGAACTCTCACAATTTAAACAAACACCAAATGAGTAGAAGGAACTAACGGGAATCATCGTTTATGTTTTGCAGTACTAGTTAGCAACCCAGACGATATGGTCCTCGGGAAGGAAATGGCAGATAGGAACTGTCCCTGGTTTGACCTTGAGCACTTGGAAGGCCAAATGCTTCGGGTTCCATTCTGATGTGTCAGTGTGGCACACCGCTACTGCTTTAGCTTTTGTCCCGTCCGCACCCACCAAGGAAACGGTGTATGTTTTCGTGGTCTGTGTTTTGTGGCAGTAAAACACAGCATATGGATAGTTTTGCTTATGGCACACCACTGCTTCCTCACCTACCATCTTCTTCGTTCCTGCAATGTTATACTTCTGGAGTGGAGTTTCTTTTTCCACCACTGTCGAGATTGCGTGAACATTATTTCCGAGCTCGGATGTGCTGAAGTCTACCATCGACTCCAACGAAGTCGTGCAATACTTCTCCTCTCCTTTAGTTCCAGGCTCCTCGCACTCTTTGATGGTTTTCTTCATTATCTCAGCCTCCATCGAGTTGGGTTTCACCGAAAAGTGATTCAAGATTTGTTGCATCTTATTGGAAGAGAAGGGTATTGATTCAGCAACCTGACGAGATAGGAAAGTAGCTGCATTCGTGCTTTTTGTGAAGACCAAGTTCATCGTCGTGCCGGGCTTCAAGTCCTTCTCGAAGAAGAAAAGAGCCGTGTTTGGGTTGTCGTGAAGTTGATTCTCAGTAGCAGCATACTGGTACAAAAATGGGTTTTTCCCTGGAGTTACTCCAACATAGACAGGTTTTCCCTTCTTGCCTGTGTGCACAGACACGCCCCCTTTGCCGACACCAACATTGGTTCCTTTGCCACTGTCAACTCCAACGCCTTTGCCTCCCACGTCAACATTGGTGCCGCCTCCTGCATTCCCTTTCCCTGCATCAACGTTTACACCGCCCTTCCCTACGTCCACTGAAGTGCTCTTTTCTTCATTCCATTCTGCAAATTCGCAACAGGAAAAATTAATATGCCACACACTGGTGTGCATGTATTATTAGCATTTGAAGTTCTTGATTACATGATGTATTTGTACTTGATTCTATGCAATTTTATCTTTTTGTTAACCTAGTTTAGAAACCTTTCAGAAAAATTGAATCTTATTTTTGTTACTGTTGAATTTTTAAAATTTGGGAGAAATGTTTTTACTACGCCCGAGGGTTGTCGAAATTGTGATATTTACGGTGGACTCCACATATTTCAAGTATTCTTCTGTTTTTTCCGTGCAAAAGAGAACTTAGGACTTGTTTTTCCGTGCAAAAGAGAACTTAGGACTTGTTTGGTAATTATTTATGTTTTGTTTTTACAATGTTACATGAAGGAGAAGCATTATTTTTGTTATGCTATGATTTATTTTGAAATAGAATTATATTTACTAACTAAATTTGTTGCAAAAATATCTAAGCATTTCATTTGTTTTTTCAGATTTGGAACTTTTTTTTAAATGTTGTACTTGCACATAACAAGTGTTAGTAAAGATGTTTTCGCTACTTGTTTATGTTTTTAACAGGTTTAACAACAAAATTACAAAATGAAAGCTATTTCCGAAAAGGCCCTTAGCTTAACCAAATCCAAATAGACAAAAATATTAGAGCAATGACTACAAAACTTTCACTTTCTTAAAAGAAAATCTTTGAGAATCCGATTCAGACCCTCTACTCCACTGCAAGTTCGGATTTCGAACTGTTACAAACACATAGAAATAGAAATAGAAATAGAAATTTAGATTGTATGACTAACCGGGGTGAAGAAGGTCCACGACAGCTTTTGGCATAGGAGTGTTTGGCAACACCGACTTCCAGTAAGCTTCAGGAGTTAGAGCTGCATGGCTTGCCACCAGTGCCAACTGCAACAAGAAACAAACACAAAATATCATATTATATATATATATATATATAGATGAGGCTAGCAGAACGATAAAACAGCTCTCGGCAGTGGCGAGAGCCTCGTTCACTATACTAACCCTTATTCATATATACAGAAATACATAGATTTACATAGAAGAGAAACAAACACAGAACTCAAAAGAGTTTATTTATTATTATTATTTTTGCAGGTTGATTTGTGGAAGTTTAGAAACTCACCGAAAGAATTGCAAAGATGGGTAGGAAATGAAACTCCATTAAAGCTTCAACAGAGAGCTATAATATATGATGAAAGAGATTGGTTCAGAACCTGAAAGAAAAGATTTAGATGGAAAGAAGTGAAGTGGGTTGGAATTATTTATAAGTGAACCGTACGTGAAGAGCTAAAGGGAGTTAGATATATGGTACTATACAAAAAAGCAACACATCACCTATATTTACAACTCCTTTAATTATCCCCAACTGTCTCTTCCCTACAACCATTCAATGCACTACTGCCAAATGGTACCTGGTGGGGAAATAGCAGTTATACATATATGCCAAGTGTTGGCTGTCCAGAGAGAGAAAGAGGAGAGAGAAAGAGAGGTGAATGAATGAATATGAAACTATTTTTGGCTGGTTTAGTAATGGCTTAGTGAGTGAGTGAACGTATGAAAGAATGGCCACTTCTTAATGCCTTGGACTTTTTGGATCAAATCTTAATGCGTACAACAATGGATCTATATATGAACTATCAACCACCCAATTTATTAGGGTTTAGTGGGAAGTTGGGAGTTTACATCTTGCATTATTGCATTACACTCCATTTTTGGATACTATGGAAACGTCTCGATCTCTCGTGACAGGAGTACAGAACTTATTGTTTATTATAGAGTAATGATTCTTAAACCCAGAACTTTGGAAACATAAATTTGCGGACAAACCCGCCCGCATCGAGTTTGGCAGTGCACAATTTTGGAAAATAAAAATTCAGTATTTCTCACCAAATTCAATATACTTTCTTAATTTTTAGGAACATCATAGGCATAAAAAATCATCAGACAATTAAATGTATAGTTTTATTAACTTAGGAATTGTATTGGACTTAATTATAGCATTGTCTGGTGAACTTGAAAAAGGGCGATGGATGTAGTAGACAAGCTTCAAGCAAACAAAGCAAGGTAGTGTAGTCAAACAAAAATAATGAGCATTGTGGTTTTGTATGTGAAAAAGCATTAGCATACAAGTTGTATGCATGGTTTGCAATTGCAGTGTAACGAATTCAGACGAATATCAATATATATTCATGAAGATGTGTAAAGGTATTAAATTCTTTAAAAACAAAAAGTTATAGACCGATCAATATGATGGACATTCAACACAATATATAGTCAATTAAGTTTGCTGAGCATGAGTTTGTGTGAAAGAAGCTTAAGATATAGAAAACGGAGGCCCACCATGGTTTGTCCATTGCCAAAGCCCCAAAACTCAGGTAGCTATATGCCCAATCTCATAAAAAAAGGTATAATTGCAGGCAAAAATATGAAATGTATTCCAAATATTTATACATTCTTAAAAGTAACAAAATATATTGAGAATGTATAATGTTTAAATTAATCCTGTAATATGAAAAATAGTGAATTACCCACTAACAAGTAATATTGATACGACTCTTAGACTTGAACCCTTCTCTTTGGCTGCATTAATACACATATATGCATTACTATATATATATGTGCACATTACATATATAATTATGAATAGTTACAGAGGGTTGGATTGTGTGTTAACAATATTCATTTCCATGCAAAATGAGGTTACCTCATGCAGATGGAAAAATGATTCTCAAATGCATTGGACGACACTTTCCCAAGTGATGGTGACTGCACAGTATCTCACCACTCTTGTGAGTGAGTGAGTGAGTCGCAAATCGGTTTGTATCTCATTGTTCTTCCATGAATAGACCCGACGTTCATGGGTCATTCTCATTCATCACATATTTGCAATACTTTTTATGAAATAATAAATGATATGAACAATTTTATACAAGTAAAGGATTAATGTCATTACGATGACGTCAGTCTCCGTTTACATAAAACTGTAGTAATAATATAATGACAATCCTTAGGAGTCTGTAGGGACATGCTGACGGGATAGACTTCTTTGTGATTTACTTGCTTTTTTTATTTATGCTCCATTACATCTTATAGTGTCCTTTAGTGATTTTTTTTATGTTTTGTTTTGTGAGAATGCATATCCTCAAGGAATGAGACCATAAAATTATAAAGCATTATTAAGATTAAATAGGTCGCTATAATCCATCAACTCTTATCTCATTTTATTTTATTAATTATGATAATTAATTTGTCAACTCATTAATCATTATCCAATTTTTTGGGAAAATGCAAGTCACATTAATTATGGGCTGGTCCGAGCCTAACTGCTCTTGATGAATTTCGATTGAATTGGGCTATAGCACATTGGGCTGACCTTCGTACAGCCATGACTGCCTAATACGTACTAAAGTAGTAGAAAGCTTTATTCCAGGTATACATAGAGCATTATAGTTTTCCAGGCCCTAATGGGCTTGCCAAACCATATTAGTTTCAATTTTTGTGCATTGCAGGCTGGTTGAAACCTTTTGACTTCGCATATGTGTAACTTTCAAATTACATATATCATTTAATTTTGGATGTCATTTTTCAGAAACTGTAACTCTTCAAAAAAAAAAAAAAAAAATAAATAAATAAATAATTTTTTTTTTTTGAAATATTCTTACCATATATACTATCTGTATTAAAAAAATATTGTCTCTTTTGATAAACTTTAACTCTTAAAATGAACGTTTCTTTTAAAAAATTCTTACTTATATATTCCTTCTATCTTAAAAAGAATTACTCTTTTAGAAAACGGTAGAGAGAACGTATAGAGTAAGAGAATTTTTAAGCCCATATTTTTGTATCCTTAATTGTCTTAGAGGATCCAATTTCGATTCCCAACTAATCATATTGAGATTTATTTGAATTTTAATTGATATTTATATACAGTATTATTTTAACTCCAAACATTAAACAATAATAATAATAATAATAATAATAATAATAATAATTAATTTTACCTACCGCAAATTAAAATTCCTACTCCTACTCCTATTCCTATTCCTATTCCAATTTGAAATTTGGTATTATTATAAAAAAGGTTGTGCGTGCTATTTGCTAATACTCCTGGCTTTCTCAACTCTTCCCCCAATCCAAAAACCCTAGAAGAAGGTGCAGGAAGATGGACTCAAAGTGGGGATTGAATGGTACCATGTTAATTTATCAAGCAACTACGACGAAGACGATTGGGACAGTGACCACAACTTCGACCCCTACAGAAAACAGAGAACAAGGGATACCAAGAAGAACAGAGAAGAAAAGCAGCCGACGCCAATCGATCCGATCTGGAAGACGACGCCGCCGACGGCCATCCCGTGGTTGAAGTGTAACTGTGTGGCTTCGGGCTCCACTGTGTACGTCATCACGGAGGGTTCTCGTATCTGTTCGGTGAACGCCGCCGATATCTCAGGTCGCTGGAGTGCGATTCAGCCCAGTGCCAGTAGAATCTTGTACACCCAGGCGGCGGCTCTTGACGGTAAGATTTATCTGTTTGGTGCACCACTAGCGTGCAAAGACCCATATAGGCTAGGGTAACCCCTTCTTTAGGCGAGGTTCGGTGGTGGCGACAGCAACACCAATATGTTTGAGACAATTTCGCCGCCTCCGCTCCAGTTTCCTCCGTCTACCCAAAAGGGATGCTTTGCGGTTGCTGATCCTTATTGGGTTGGTTCCGCACAGGGGTCCTCCTTGCCTACAACGCGAGGAATCGTAATCGTAGTTGGGAAACCCTAGACCTTGAGTTTCATAATAGGTTGTGCCACCACGAGCCACGCTGTGTTGTTTGACAATATTCTGGGTTTGGGTTTTCAGGGAAGATGGTGGGATTTTTGCTTATGATTTGGATCGGAAGATGACCGTTTTCAGTTCGTTAGAGTAAGAGTATGCTGGAAAACACCGGAAAAGCTCAGAGCTTATACCAAGTTGACGGGATTTTATCCCTCACCGATGGTGTAATGCTATAGCTCATTCTCTGTCAATGTTGATCAATTCTTTTTTAATTCTGTCACTAGAATCTAATTTTATCTTTTATTTCTGTTAACAAAATTTATCAACTCATTATTCAATTTATGAAAAAATGCATTATGGAAAGAGAGTCATTTCAATTACGTCCTCATTAAATTTGCTCTTCATTTATTTTGGTTAAATATAATTTTATTATTATTATTTTTTAAACAGAAGGAATTTTTATAGTTGAATCAAAGAACCATGTCTTGAGAGATTACACATCAAGTAGCCAAGATGGCCAAAGATTCCACTGTAAGTAAGTGGTTTCCCGTGGGAAGAATTTAATGGGGTTATTCCACAATTCTTGTCGGCTGTTTTCCAGTGGAATAGCCCAATTGTTAAACAATCTATGGCATAATCTGTGGCATCATTCCACAATTCTTGAAGCCAATACCATGTTTGAATCCAAGAATATTCAATTTTAGGGAAATTCAACACCTGAATATATTACAGGACATTTAAAGAATATATTTCTCAAAAAATATTTTACTTTTAAAGGTATTTTATTTTATTTTTTACTTTTTATTCTTCTGTATTTAGCAAAGACAAATTAATGAGTAGTTTATTTTGGTTAGATTTTTATAAATTAAGGTTTAGTATAATTTTTGACAACCAAACAACAAAAAATAAAAAAATAAATATTTTCTACAAAATATTTTACATCCAAACAAACATAATCCAGTTCCATTAGTTAAATTACACAAATCACACTTTACTCATTCTCAACGGAGTAGTGATATTTGATCAGAAGAGTTATGCAGAATACATACTTGTGTAATTTAGGTAATGAAAATTCAGTTTTTCCTATGGCAGTGCTCTCATGAAAGGGTGCCTTGTTAATGGAATCTTAACGGAATCTTAACCAAAGAACCAAACAACAAAAAATAAAAAAATAAATATTTTCTAAAAAATATTTTACATCCAAACAAACATAATCCAGTTCCATTAGCTAAATTACACAAATCACACTTTACTCATTCTCAACATAGTAGTGATATTTGATCAGAAGAGTTATGCAGAATACCCTTTCATGAGAGCACTGCCATAGGAAAAACTAAATTTTCATTAGCTAAATTACACAAGTATGTATTCTGCATAACTCTTCTGCACTGGTGGATTTAAGGTAGGCCTGGGCTGGGCTGGGCTCCAGCCCACCCCAAATTTTATTTATTTATTAATTATTACTATGGGTAAATTTAGCCCACCAAAAAAAAAAAAAAATTATTAGTGGTATTAG